ACTTGTAACCATTGTTAACTCTTTTTACCGGTTGCAATCAATCAAATCTGGTTTTTTCTGGTGGGTTTTCTGATGAAGATAGAACTCTGATTTATTTTATGTATGCTTAAATAATTTATAGAAACATAATAATCAGTGTATTTTAATAAACCACCTAAAAATATTATTAGGTGGGGGTGAAGGGAGCCCACCTCAGTTAATCTCTTTTAAATACTATAATAAACAAATAATGGTAAAAATGTAGTAAACAAAAGTTATAAAAATCAACAGAAAAATAGTTAACTAAGATGGGGTAGACCATCTCCTGGTAGACCAGGAGATGGTCAACCCCCCCCCCCCCCACCTTATTTTACAGGTTAGTAATAAAAATACACTGTTGATTATTATGTTTCTATAAATTATTTAAGCATATATAAAAAAAATCAGAGTTCTATTTTTATTAGAAGACCCAGCGCCAGAAAAACCTGGTTTTCACTGATTGATTGGTTGCAACCGGTAAAAAAGGTCAACATTGGTTACAGGTCTAGCAAAAAGCATAAAAATAATCCTACAATGATAATTTTTGGTGTATATCTTTTAAATAACATAAATATTCATTTGTTAAAATAGTATCCAGTTTTTTATTTTTTTTTTCCTAGTTTATTAAGCAATATACTAAAAAAAAAGTTTTGAAAACTTGATGAGGCCAGCACAAGGTAAAAAAAATAATTAAAAAAAAAAACAGTTTCATTTTTTTTATTACCGTCCGCAAAAAATTGCCTATTTGTTAGTGAAATTTTTTGCATGACCTAAATTTGAACACCTTTAATATATATATATATATATATATATATATATATATAATATATATATATATATATATATATATATATATATATATATATATATATATATATTATATATATATATATATATATATATATATATATATATATATATATATATATATAGAGAGAGAGAGAGAGAGAGAGAGAGAGTCTTGCATGGTAGTCAAAAAGTTTTTCCCATAAACTGTAGTTTTAAAGAGAGCGCTAATAAATCAGGCCAGAAATAGTTTAAAAGCTTGAATTTTTTTTTTTAATTAATCGATAGATTGCCTGCTCTAATTAAATCCTCAGTCGATGTAGCAGCACTCCCTTGCAAGTCAGGCTATTTGTCAGTCAATTTAGCAGCACTCTGTTGCAAGTCAGGCTTTAAGATAGTTGATGTAGCAACACTCCCTTGTAACAGCAGGCTATGTAGCAACACTCCGCGCATGTTTTAAAAATATATTATAATAAAACAACAATTATTATTTATTATTATTGTGGTTTTTTTTTTAAAAAGTAAAATTTAATGTACTTCCGCATTAATTTAATTGCATTGATATTGTGACGACAATAAAATGTAGCTTAATTGTTGCGGTCGCAAAATTGTAGTCAAAAGAGACTTTTTTTACATCAAAAATCTCTTTCAACTACGATATAAGGATATATATATATATATATATATATATATATATATATATATATATATATATATATATATATATATATATATATATATATATATATATATATATATATATATATATTTATATAATTTATTTCTTTTCTATTAGTTATAGTACTTTTTAAAGTATCTTTTATTTTGAAGATCATTTAAAGATTTATTACATATTTTAAGAAATTTTGAAATGAAAATTTATACAAAATTGCACTAACTCTTGTTTTTGTTTTGCTGCAGTGTTCTGCTTCAAATTGCCACAGTTTATAAGATAGTCGAAATTTCACTAGTGTCTCAGCATAGATGTTGCAAAAAAATTGTCAAACTTATTGATGATAATAACCTTTAAAATTTTATAAAAGTTTTTATTTTAATAAATTAGACAAATGAATGCTATAAATTAAAAATCAAGGGTACATTGCTACAAGTTTAAAATGAAGGACATAAATTGCTGCAGGTCAAATTAAGGACAAATTAAGGACATATTGCTGCAGGTCAAAAACGAAGGACATAAATTGCTGCAGATCAATTTTCAAGTAAAAAGTAAAACTTTAAAGCTTATAATAACTTTTACATTTACATAATTTTAAATTACTTAATTAAATTAAGTTTTTAAATTATTCATATATATAATAAGTCAATCTATTTAACTTTAAACACAATTTTACTGGATGCATATTTTAACTAATAGAGAAGAAATCTGCTACTCCACCGCCATCATCAACAAGAAATGTGTCATCGCTTAGAAAAAAGCAACCTTTTCCTGAACCGATGGTATCAAAGGTTTGCCTTCAAGGTATGTGTTTTGGGTAATTAGCATATTTTCAGTAGTTTTTATATAAAAATGGTATTTAGTTGTATTCTACAAATTTTTGTAGTCAATGATTTCTTGTTGGCCTTGTTTGCTATCTCTCTATACATATAGATATAAATACATCTATAAATGTATATGTATAAATACATGCAGCGCAGCTAATGAGGTTGTATTTATATGAAATTTTTTTTTTTAATTGATAAATATCATCAACTTGGGTGGATAAAATTTTGGGGTTTTTTGTTCCCAGTTTTCAATAATTGCAACTTTTTAAAAGTAGCATTATTTTGCATAAGTATAAACGTACAAATGTTTGGATTTTGCTTCATGTTAGCTATCTCAAACACCAAAAAATGATAGACCCATTACTGCCACAGATCTCTTGTTTCTAAGCAAATTTGCTTCTAAATGCTGTAAATATACAATATTTATGCATATAAATTTTTAACTTATAAATATCTTAAGGAAATATCTCAAGAAAAATATCTCAAGAAAATATATAAAATTAAAATAATTTTTAAATGTACTTTTAAGGTTTAGAGATTGCAGTTAAGTATTGGATCAAATTTCTAATTATTAGAATCATTCAATAACGAGAAAGCAAGAAAGCAGTTGCTATAGCTAGCTTCTTGACTCCCCTCTTCTTTTTTGTTAATGGTTCTTTACAAGAACTCTTTATTTGAAGTAGCTTCTGAAGCTTCTCCAAGCTCATCACAAGCTTTACATTATCTTTAATATATACTGTAAGCACAACAAAATTGAATTTTTTATTACGAAATATTTTTCTATATATTTTTTAAAACAAGAAATATGTTTCTTGTTTTAAGAAATAAATATCCTACCCTGCAATTTATTTTTAAAAACAAGAAATGTATTTCTTGTTTTGAGAAATAAGTCTCTTAAACTATGGTTAATATATTTATGATTTTGCTGTGAGTTCTGATGAATTGTCTGATGATTTTGCTGTGAGTTCTAATGAGTTGTCTGATGATTTTGCTGTAAGTTCTGATGAGTTATAACTTTGAAAGATTTTAAAGATTTTGGAATTCATTGTATCCAAAAAGTCTCATCCATAAGCATTTTTTTAAACTATTACTTAGAATATCAGAAATTAACCAGTAGTCTGATAAAATATACAACTGAAGACCCAGTGGCTGGTCTTTATTGACAAAAATTGTTTTCAGAAGGATTTCAGCTTTGATTCAATCCGTTTTTACATCTTTTCGAACCTTTAACCCTTTGTTATTTTTGTTATTATTAAATAATAAGACTAAGATATCAAAACTTATGAAACTAAGTTTTACTTTAAAAATTGCAGGTCGAAAGCCACAATGCCCAGGAAAGAGAAATGTTGTCAGCTATTCTATTGATCTCTTTGTATTTTATTACTCAGAATAAAAACCTTCCTGATTTTAGAGAAATGCAACAAATTTCTAATTGCTGTATATATATATTTCTAATTAATGTGTATATATATATATATATATATATATATATATATATATATATATATATATATATATATATATATATATTTCATTATATTTCATTGTTTTTTTCTTTTTCTAAAAAAGCCATATGGATTAAAATAAGGAAAAAAAGTGAGCAAATGCTTATATAAATATGCTATAGTATATATATATATATATATATATATATATATATATATATATATATATATATATATATATATATATATATATATATATACTACATATATATATATATATATATATATATATATATATATATATATATATATATATATATACATACATATATATACATATATATGTTTATATGTATATATATATATATATATTTATATATATATTCATATATATATATATATATATATTTATATATTTATGTATATTTATATATATATATGTATATATATATACATACATATATATACATATATATGTTTATATGTATATATATATATATATTTATATATATATTCATATATATATATATATATATATATGTATATATATATATATATATTTATATATTTATGTATATTTATATATATATGTATATTTATATATATATATATATCTATATATATATATATATATGTATATTTATATATATATATATATATATATATATATATATATATATATATATATATATATATATATATATATATATATATATATATATATATATATATATATATATATATGTATATTTATATATATATATTTATGTATATGTATATATATTTATATATATTTATACATATATTTATATATATTTATACATATATATATAAATATATGTATATATATATATATATATATATATATATATATATATATATATATATATATATATATATATATATATATATATATTAACTTGAAATGCAAATAAAGCAAGTTATAGCCGCACTATCCCCTAATCCACTGGTTTAAACTTCAAAACTGCCATGGTGCAGTGATTTTGAAATTTCAAGAACTCTAACTCTTAAAACTTCAATTGATGGCTCAGAACTTAAAGCTTCAATTGATGGCTCAGAGGCCTAAAGTTCAACGCCTGCGTTGATGTCAAAGTAAATAAAAGTTTTTTTTCTAATGTGGTTTTCTAATGATATCATCTAAGCTAACATATATGGTTTACTGTTAATATTGTTTTTAAATAAAAAATTGGAAATAACATCAAAGTGTCATTAAAAGAACAAATTTTTGCTTGATAACCACAAACCAAAGATTAAAAAACCAAAAAATTTAAGAACGCTTGTGAACAAAAAAAAGCTTTATAATTGTTTTTGCACCTATTTTTTTTGTATAATAAGAACAAAATATTTTCAAAGAAGTAGCATAATGTATTTTTTGCCTGATGATTGCTAACGCATTAAACTTTCAGTGTTAAAAATGTAGTTATTTTTTTACTTTATAAAAATTTTATAAACTTATAAAGCTCTAATATCATTCATTGAACACTCTTGCTGAAGAAATACAATTAATAAAGTAAATTTAGTTAAATGTTTGTGTGTACATGTATATATATTGACGGCTTAAAAGATAACAAACTACGTAAATCAGAAAAACAAGATGAAGGGAGCAAATTCCAATGAACTGATGTTCAAGAAAAAAACTAGAAGAATAAGAATTATTTGAGCAGTTAGGAACAGTCACAGTAAAAGGATGAGATGTAATTGAATAAGGAGCAACACAAGAATGAATTTTAGTAGTAGGCACAAGAGATGCTATCTCTTTAGAGCAGCGCCAATTATAGTATTTATAGAAAAGAGAAAGAGAAGCAAAATTACGATACGATGATTAAAGGTTAGCAACAAGAGCAGGTCCAACTATCTTTACAAAGCGTTTTTGCAACTTGTCTAAAAGAGAAAGATTTTTATTTAAAGATAAGCTCCAGATATAGTTAAAGTATTCCAAACAAGGATGTTTTTGATATTTATAGAGATAAAGAATAGAATTCAGAGTAAGAAACTAGCGAGCACTATAGAGAGATGCAATCATGCAACTAATTTTGCAATGGATTTGATATATGATTTCCAAGAAAGATTTGAAGTAAGAGTTAGTGCTAGAAAACATATGACTTATTGAGTACATTACTGTTCATAAATATAGGATTTTATTGCAATAACGATTAGCTAAAAAAGTTGAGTTTTATCTGAGTTAAAGTTCACCAGTCACTGAGAGCCCCATGCTGTAGTAACAGTGAGATCCTTGTTAAGCTCAAAAGATACAAAAGCTAGAGTGACACAAGTGTCAGGTAATGGATCAACCTGTTTGTTGGCTATATCAAGTAGGATATGATTAAAATTAAGAGATGAGATTGATGAAAAGTTCTTAGCAAATAATTCAACTTTCTCTTTAGGTGAGGTAACAAAATTTGAACCATGCAAGAGATAGCAAACAGCAGATGCCCCTCCTCCCCCTCCTTAGAATGATTTGTTGTTTTTATAAATGTTAAAGATTCTTCTTCAGTCTCTAAAGCCTAATTTAATATACACTAAAAATCTATCTTATCATATCTCCGGGATCTAACAGGATGGCTCTGTTGGTCATCTATATACAATCATTGTGTGGCAGAAACAAAAGTAATGCATGACTATGATATTTTTCTTCAGTATGAACTTTTTAAACAGATTTTTTTTGTAAGTTGTTGCAAATATATTTTAATAATCAATGTTTAATAAAATTTATTTGCAACAGCTTACAGAAAAATGCCAAGTTTTACTTTTGAAATATGAATTTATGAACTCTATTTTAAGAATTAATTTTTATAAACTGCTGAATGGTAAGATCTTAAAAAATTTGGAAAAGATGCTGTAAAGTTGTTTAAACTTAATCAAATTTCTTAATTTTTTCTAAACCAAACAAGCATCAAAATGCATCAACTTGTTTAAATGTATTTTGCAATGAGACCATAGCTACTTTAAAAACAAATTCAAAATGTGTTGACAATACCACAGTTTTTTTTTATTAAGTTTTTTAAAGTTATTAATATTAATGTTTTTTCAATGGTAAACAATTAAACTTTCTTTTAAATATGGCTGATATGATTGAAAAAATAGTAAATATTCAGGTAAATGATTTCCCAATTTTTGCTGTAGGAGTGAAGCTGTAAAAAACCTAAGTATGTTGGCTGAAGGTCTAGGAAATGAGCAGGTTGCTTCTGGGATTCTCAAAAAAAAAAAAGAAAAAGGACAATATTAAAATTGGAGATAAGTTTCCTTTAAAGATTTTTAAATACAATTTTCTTGTTGTTGTTGGCATAGTAATAAATGCAGCAGAGCATGCATTAAAAAATTGTCCTTCGAAGTTATAATGGGAATCTCAAATACTTTAAACCTGAGTAAAAAAAAGCAACACTACTTTACAAAAATATGTGACAAAACTATTATTTCAAATGTACTTAGGAAAGATTAATTCAAAACTGTATCAATTCAGATTGCATATCACAATGTAAAATTTTTATGATTTAAAAACTCATTCATTTTA